GAAGGATTAGGAAATATGGCCTTGTTGGTAGAGGTGTACTTCTGGGGGTGGGCTTTGAGGCTTCACAAGCCTACTATTCCCACACCCAGTTAGCTTTCTCTGTCCTGTGCCTGTGTATTAAGATGTAAGTTCTTACCTACTATTCCAGCGCCTGCCTGCCTGCTTCTCTGCCTTGATGCTCATACACTCTAATTAATAACCCTTTGAAACTGTAAGTCCCGAGTAATCTCTCCTTCTGTAAGTTGCCTTGGTCATGGTGTCTCATTAAAGCAATAGAAAAGTACTTAAGACAGGCATCTTGCCAGCCCCCATGTCAGTTTCTTAATGTGACGCTCAAATGTCATCCTGGTGGAGCAGAACCATAGCTGGATCCTAACTCAGTTTTAGAATTTTAATTTAATGTTTTATTTTTGAATCACCACACACAATAGTAGGTTCCTTTTGACACCTTTATACACACTAAATTTGTCTAATCCTCTTCTCCCTGCTCCTCTCTCCCCATCTCCCTACATACCCCGTGTCCCCGATATTCTCCTTCCGACCCCCACATCACATGGTTTCTATTATCCTCCCATCTCTCTTACCTAAAACCTCCTCTCCCCTCTCATGGCCCCTTTCTAGTTTCATGACCTCCGTCCACCTTCATCCCATATACATGCAGACATAAACATGTAGAAGCTAGGTTCTGTGTGTGGGAGAAGACACACAGTCTTTGTGTTTCCTGTTGCCTGGGTTACGTCTCTTAGAGTATTTTCTAGTTCCACATGTTTCTGTGTACATTTCCTTTTACTTTACAGTTGAATAATTTCTCTCTCTCTCCCTCCCCCTCCCCTCCCCCTTCCCTCTCTCTCTCTCTCTCTCTCTCACACACACACACACACACACACACACACACACACACACATGCATATGTAAGTACCCACAGAAGTCAGAAGAGAACATAGAATCTCATGAAACTGGGGGCTCTTCTGTGTAATAGGCAACTGAATGCTTGTTTCATTAATTATGGTCTATAACTTACATACAGATGTGAATTTCAATGTATGAAATACCTTTTGGTTTAAGAATGGCAGACTTTTTACTACAGGCTGAGATATTTCTTGCTATCTTGAATTTCTTCAGGCTCATGGTGATCTTCAGTCAGCTCCTCCTACACAGAAAGTAAATTATTTTTAAAGGGAAGTCCCCACAATCACGTCTGCATAAGGAAGTTTTGAACACAGATAAGCCTGTGTGTTTACTTCTACTCTGTGTCATTTACCAGTAATTTCAGTTAGTTGGCATGTCACTATTCTCTGTGTTCTTCACCCCAAGTCATCTCGTAAGTGGGTATCACTTGCTAATCGGTAAATGTGACTTCTTCCTCAGCTTTATGTATGTCATTGATAGTTTTTTTTTAAGTTACTATATTCTGAAGTCAATAGTGCTTGAGAAATATTCAGCACATATTCCAAGGGTTGAATACTGAAAAGTCAGTTGAATTAAAATATTCAACATTTGGAGACTGCAAGATGGCATAAAAAGAGATTGCCACCAAAACAGATGGCTTAAATTCAATTCTCAGGACCCACATAGTAGGACAGAAAATGATATCCAAAAGTTATCTTTTGACGTGTCTGCACATATACATTGTTGATTCAAGTTGTCAGGCTTGGTGTTACATGCCTTCATCTGCTGAGACATGTCACTGGCCCAGAGAGGGATCTCTATAGTGTCTTCCTTCAACATTAAATGTCTCAGCCAGAAGACATACTTGGTTTTGTTTATTACTTGTTACTGGGAGCTCATCACATGATGCCCAGCCAATTGTCATGATATTTCAAAAAGTTCATTCATGAGGCTTCATGTGTTCATGTGTTCAGAAGGTAGAGCTATTACTAATGCATGTCACATTGGAGCACAGCAGATGGGACTTCTTAAAACCATTTATAGTTTACTTCCTTTCCCATTGGGAATTGTGTGGGAGAATAAAGGCTCCCCTGGGAAACCCTGGATTCTAGTCAGAAGAAACAAATCCACTTGGGGCCATCATTCTTCACTTTAGCCTGGGGTTTTTTATCAGCCTCCTCCGGTTCTGGTCAGTGAACCCTACGTTTCCTCCTAGCAGCCGTTCCTCCCCGTTTGTAGCATGTCTGTGAGAGAACGTCTTGCTAAAAGCAAAAGCTGCTTGGCCTAAGCATTCTTCTTCGTTACCAGGCTATGTCTTTGAAACAAGACAAGTTTGTTTTGACTCCAGAATCCAACCAACGGTTGAATCTGTTTTAATAATAGCACGCAGAGATCCTATCACCTGACATCCAAATCATAAAAAGATTCTAAAACATAACTGTAAAATAACAAACTGTAAAGCTACCTTAGATAGACGTTCTGTTCAATCACGTGCATCGCAACACAGTTAGATGCAAACACTCCACAGGCTGTGTGGCAGATGACATGGATGGGGACTGGAGAGGATGAAAGCCATGCCATGTGCCTTCCATGTGAAACTGCGGCTGCCTTTGAGAAGTCACGTGTGATAACATTGAAGCACAACTTCCACCGTAAACCATGAAGCAGGTCCCAAGAAGAGCAGGGACCTCCGTACAGTGCTAGGTATACTTAAGTGTTCTGGAGCCATAAGCCTCCTGCTCCCATTGTCCACTGAAGGTGGCTTTGCCTAGCTGAGGCCATAGGGAATGCAGGGACCTGTAGATAGAGGCCCAAGAGTTCTGAGATGGCCATAAAGAGCCAGTCAGCCTTTTGAGGATGGTTTACTCAGAAGACATTGTTTGCCTTACATAATGTAACAATCCCATTGAGGATGTTGGCAGTGTGGGTTTATACCTGACAAACCCTTAAAATAACTTGAGACCAATTTCTTATATCTGAATCCCAACTATGGGAAAAACTTAAAAACAAGAATACAGGGCCAGAGAGGTGACTCGGAGATTAAGAACATCTGTTGCTCTTCCAAAGGACCAGTGTTCAATTCCTAGTACCCAAATGGTGGCTCAGAACCATCTGAAACTTCAGTTCCAGAGAATTTGACACCTTCTTCTATGAACGCCAGATAGGCATGTAGTATGCACAGTTACATGCAGGCAAAATACCCATACATATAAAATAAAAATAAAGTAATTTAAAATTTTTATTAAGAAAAGAAAAAGGAAGATCACAAGAGCACAGAGGAACAAAAAGAAAGCTGTCTACATGTTCTTATTTGGAGTGAAAGATGCCATCAACCCTTCCTTTTCCAATCTGCACAAGGGGAAAATGGAAAAACCATTTTAGAAGATTACAGCTCAGCTTTTGTCATGGAGAGGTTGTTCCATATTCACAAAGCTTTCCTATTATAAGACTTTCTCCAGTTGTTACTTTTTTTGGGGGGGGGACAAAATACAGTCCCTGAGAAAAGCAACTGGAGATGCAGCCTAGTCCTGGGCGGGAGGACCCCTCATACGGACCTGCTTTTGTGCTCTTCCAGCAGAGGATGTCCCCTCTGTGGTCCACAGCTTCCTCCACCTCCGTGAGTTTATCTGTTTTCCCCACAGTAGCTGGGTGGAGTAGTGTGGCTGTGTGTGTTGTCCTTATATGTGCAATCGAGGCCAGAGACACATGCCCGACTCCGGGTAGCTGAAGATAAGTATCAACCTTCTGAATTCCTAGTAAACGGAGTCTATCAGATGACTCTAATGTTTTCACAGAGTGTGGAAATCTGTTCAAGTATCATTCCTTTCATTTAAAACTCTTAAAGCATTCGAGCCAGAGGAGACGACTCAGCTGGTCAAGTCCTTGCCCCCGAAACAAGAGGAACTAATTGGGTTTGCTCTCCAGAGGCCAGTAAAAAGCTAAGCACACTGGTGCATGCTTGTAATCCCAGCATGGGGGATGTGGAGACAGGAGGATTGATCTTTGGGGCTCTCTGGTTAGTTAGCCCAACTTTCTTGGCAAGTTCTAGATCCCAGTGAGAGATCTTGTCTCAAAGAATTGTGGATGGCTCTTGAGAAACAAATGGCACCCAAGGGTGGTGTCTGGCCTCCACATGCATGAATACTTTTACACACACACACAATCACACACACACACACACACACACACACACACACACACACACACACACTGGTCTGGGTAGTAAGAAGAGAAATATTAGTTAAGAACATTTAGCTACTTTTTGCACCACCAACCCAGAGAAGCCACCAAGGGGTCATTATAGAGCAGGACATGTGCCATCCCAGACGTCCATCTTCTGTGCCCTCCCTTTCTGCTGAGTGTCAATCAATCCCTCCTCACCTTCCTGCTGGGCGTCACACATAGTGCTGACAATTCTGGTCTCAGCAGGTGCTTCCAGTGACACCAGGCCTTTTGAGAGGTGTCTCCTGTCCTAGGTGGAATATGAATAAATCCCTTCTGCTCCTTGACACAGCATGAACAAAGAACCAGGAATCCTTTTAAATCCAGGAGCAATGCATTCTATTGAAGCCATTTATCCTTGAGATATTTCCTTGAATATATTTTTCACATTCATGGAGAACAGTCCTTCAGTACTGTGTGTGCATCATGGGTTCTTGGGTCGTGTCTACTTTGGTATCACTTGCTAGCTGCAGACAGCCTCATCTTTCTCGTTTATGTATACGTTAAGTAAGTGATACAAAACAAGTTAAGTACATGAGTGTCTCCCATAATGTTGTTTAACAATCCCTTCATCAACCAGGTGTGGTGGAACATGCGTCACTCCCAGCCGTGGGAGGCAGAAGCAGGTGAATATCTATGAATTACATAGTGAGACCCTGTCTCAAAAAATCCCTTCATCAAAGGCTAATCTTTATAGCCCTGCACTGTGGGTTTTTTTGCAACACACTGTACTTACTTCGTTCCTTGTTTGAATTGCTTCATGAAGGCTCTGTGGTGAGTGGAAGGACTGTGGCCAGGCAGGGCCTGTCTTGCCTGCTCCTTGTCTCCAGCTCTTGCTCATTGCAGCTGCATCCTGATCTCATGTCTCATACGGATGCTTTCTTTCACAGGGACAGACAAACTACAGATACATGTCACTCCGACCTCAGAGTCCTTTCCCCTTGGGAAATTGTTACCAATTTCACCAACATGGCCTTTCTTGGAAGTCAAGTCTTCCTCAGCAGCAGACAGAATCAAGAATGTGCTGGGACAGCCTCCTGACAACACAACATTGCCACAGCTATCCCAGACACCTCTGCCCAAGGCACACCGTAGGACCAGGGCTCATGTGGACTTCTCTTCATCCTTTTACCAAGGAAGTGGACATAGCGCCTCCATGGATCTTGTCAAGGACCCCACTGAGACTCTGGTCCAAACAAGGCCTGAAGGGGGAAGAGAAGCAGCGCACATGTCAGGTTTGCCTCGCACCAGCATGCTTCCCCCATTACCTACAGCCCCATCGGTCACCTCGAGTGCTATCTACCCATCACAGCCCCTGGTAGGGATGCCTTCCCTTTCAAAGCATCTGTTGAGGTCAGACAGCCTTCTTCTTCTCCCTCCACCATCATCATCTTCATTGGCCCCTGATTCACCACATTCCATCACCCCTCCTAAGCCAGTTGAGCATCCCACCAAAGTGCCTTTGTTTCCCCAAATGACACCAGCTGACTCCTCTTCAGGTCAGAGCCCAGTTAAGGTCCTAAACCCATTTTTTCATAAAACAAACCTCTTTTCATCCAAAAATGCCCAGACTCTCATAGGTACCCCTCGCCTAGACTTTTCTACATCCTCAACAAAGCAGTACTCTGAGCTGTCCCCATCAGAGAGTCCCGGCTCAGCAGCTTTCTCTACTCCTGGGGTTCTGAGCTCCATGGCAGAACTGGACCACCTGTCTCTCCCTTCCCTAGCCCCTGGAAGCCTTCCAGGTAGAACCTCCTCATGGTCCATGTTGGAAGAGGCTTCGAGTCCTGTATCCACCCAGCCAGTCCACACAGCGGGGCCTTTCAGAGGGCGCAGTGCGGTATCATTGCCGATTTATCTGCACCCAGCAACAGCACGCTATGAGGCTTGGGCCCCACATTTGCAGACTGCAGAGTCAGTGATGACCAGCAGAGAGCTAGCCCCTGTTCCTCCTACAAATAGTTTTGCCAACTGGCCACATTTGTCAGAAGTACCAGAGAATTCCAGAAAGCCCACCCTCTCCCCAGAAAACAAACCTTCCTCTTTGGTGCCTCCTCCTCAGCCTCTCACTACACTCAGTCAAGGGCAAATGGTCCATTCTGAGGCAGCTCCTGGATCACCACTGAAGGGGACAGGCGCCCCTCTCTCCCTGCTTACGGTCCTCCAGCCCAATAAAGATCATGCCTCTCCAGCTCCTGTGCCAGAGGAACCCACATCCCAGGAAGATGGCCATGACAAGTACTTTCCTGATGTAGCCACACATCTCCTCTCAAGCAAACTTCCTAATCTCCCTCCTACAATTTGGACATTTCCTCAGCAAAAGGAGGACATGGCAGCAGCCATTTTCTGGACAAATGAGAAGACAAATGGGACAGTTTCTCTGTGGACTCTTCCAACTAAAGAGGCCTCCAGACATCGTACAGTGGATGGATCCACCTCTGATTTTAACACAGGTCATATCTCACCTCTTATCATGACAGCACTAAGAACAGACCTCTCTCCTCCAGGGTCACCTCTGTCATCCACGCTCACCACACAAACCCCTTCTCCCGGCTCTCCCAGCACCAAATTGGAGACTCTCGCAGCTGTCACAAGCCAGTCAGAGTTGCCAGCTTCAGCTTCCAAACAGGTGACAGTGCTTTCCTCTTCCACCGACATCCATGGTCTCCCAACAATGGGAGGCACGAGAAAGCCAGCAGCCACAGATGTTTTCTGGAGCTTTCTTTCAGCAGAAACTGCATCCCTCGCCACACAATCGGCAATATCTGGCTTGCAGCAGCAAACAAATCCCGATGTAAACACTCATACAATTAACTCCACGCATTGGGAACCTCAGCCAGCTTCGGCAGCCCTTCCCAGTGCTACAACTTCAGCTGCCAATGCATTACAGTCTCAGAATTTCAAAGAGACTGCTGGGCAGTTGGTGGCTGCAGACAGCTTTAACTTCCCTGATCCAGTCCTCAGTCCCGGTACCAGTCAGCCTCTCCAACCATCAGAAGAGTCTGTAGTCGAAAACCACACAGACCTCCGGCTCACAGGCAAGCATGCCGGAGACTTTGACACAGAAATGATTCATGACTACTCATCCGCAAGTCAACAGCCTATGTCACGGCTGCCCATCCAGCCGGCCCATCCTTTATGGCCAACCTGGCCAAGTTTAGCTTCTGCAGCTAGCTTGCACCAAATGCTTTCAGACGGAACAGACACAGGTTCACAAATTTCCAGTGACATCTATCTATCGCCAGGGAAAAATGGCTCCCCACAATTCCAGAGAGTCCTGGAATATCACTCATCCACAGCCTCACCTTCTGTATCAACCGGTGTCTTTTCCAGGACCCCTTCCAAAGTGCTGCGAACCTCTCGGCGCCCCAAGAAATGGACAGGTGCAGCTACTAACACAGGTAGTTTGTTTCCTGGTACCCAGAAAACAGGTATGACTGTTTTTTCGGCCAAAGCATCTTCAAGCTTCACACAGATGCCCAGCTTTGCTTTGAAGCAGCCTGCCTCCCCTCGTTCCGTAGTGAGGTGCAGCTCCAGACAGGCATGCCACCGATCCACCTTGCCTACCTGATTTTTTTTTTAAAGTATTCAAAATGTATGTCCTTGTTATCAACAACCATGGCTTTGCTGTAAGCGCATTCTTGTTATGGCTAATTGAGATAAAGAACCAAAAGCTGTCTCCCCGAGTTCTCCCCTCAGCAAGCCTGGAGTGCAGAGACTTCTTACACTAGCTCATAAGTGACATTCCTTCATCACCAAGACAGTGGCGTGTGCATCCCGGTCCAATGACAAATTTTCCTTTTCTCTCTTTGCAGTGGAAACCTCAGTGTCCTCCAAGGGAGAACTGTCAGCAACCGCAGCCGCTGCCGCCGCCACCACCACATTGTTTCTGAGAAAATCAAGTCCAGAGCCATTGTCTGCAGCCCTGACTGCTAAGGGCACTGGCAGCAGCAGCAGCAGCAGCAGCAACTTAGCCAAGAGCAGTTTGACCACTGCTCTAGCTAAAAATGTCACCAACAAGGCAGCATCAGGCCCAAAGGTGACAGCAGGGACAATCCACACAGCCTTCCCATTCACACCAACCTACATGCTTGCCCGGACAGCACACAGCATGAGCACGCACACAGCCATGCAAGGGACCACAGGCCCTGTGTCAGGCCTGTTGTCCACAACACACTTCCCTAAGAAGCCACAAGCCATGCACACTGGCCTCCCTAATCCTACCAGGCCAGACACACCCAGAGCATCCACGTCCCGCCCACTGACAGTCACAGCTGGGCTAACATCCATTACAGCATCAGTAAAGGCCACGAGACTGCCATCTTTGCAGACAGGAAACACAGATGCTGCTTTTCCGGCTGTGTCTACTGCAATGGTCACAACTGGCAGAATGGCATCCAACTTGGACTGTCAGATGTCCCACAAGTTCCTAGTGAAGACAGGTGAGAGGTCACTGTCTTATTGTTCTGAGGACAAAGAAGCAGTCCTGACTTCAAAGATGATAATAAGAGTTCTCTTAGATCACTGCTTGTCAATCAGGAACACACTTGCCCTCTCTTTCCGAGAGGCATTTGGCTTTGTCTAGAGACTTCGTAGTTGTTACACTTGTGGAGGAGAGTATTACCTGGAGCTTGTAGGCACCTAGAATTATGTTTAACATTCCCCAATGCTCAGTCTGCCCAGTAATGACTGTCTGTAGCTGGAGACAACACTCAGTTGCTAAAGTGCTTAACACGAGGACCCGAATTCTTGAATCTATGTTTTTAAAAAGCTGGGTATGATAGTTTATAACCCCAGAGCTGTGGGAGAGGAGAAACAGGCAGATCCCTAGGGCTCACTGTCCAGTCAATCTAGCCTACTTAATGAGCTACAGTGAGAGACTCTGTCTCAAAAAACAAGGTAGGTAGTACCTGAGGAATAACCTGGACACAACTAAATACATACATGCACCTGCACTCAATTGAGTGTGTGTATGTGCATACACACTCACATGCACACTCTCATATGCACATGGACACACATGAGGTGGAAAGACAGAAACAGACTAGTCCATATATCAAGGTTGAGAAACCTCGACTTAGTGAGTTTCAGAGAAGGGGAACATCAGATGACATGGATTCTATTCTCAGGATTGGTTCTGACGTCAGAGGTGCCCAGGAAAACCCCAAGTACTCCAGTAGGTCAAGGAATGCCAGAACACAGAGTGTTTTGTCTGTGAAATACACCAGGGATGTCTCACATGAATAAACAATGTGATTCATTTAACACAAAATCTTGGGAAGTGCTGTACCATTCGGAAAGGTTTTCCTAATCAGCAGATGCCAAGCGGTTAAGACACACTGGAGAAAGCTAGAATGTCTTTTGATGTCAGGTGATTTCTTTGGGGTAGGTGATACTGGAGCCATGAGCAAAGTGGGGTTGCTCTCTCCGTTGCCCTACTTCCCAGTTGCAGCAAGTCTAGTACGCATAGTGTGCTTCCAATAGTGTAGCAGTGTTTTCTATAAAAAGCATTAGACAAATTATTTGAAAGAGCACGCCAGTGTTGAGTGCTCACGTCCCGCCTTCCTCCTCGTCCCACAAAGAAAGAAAGGAAATTATATCTCGAGACATAGCTTATTCTAAAATGGGAAATTGTGAAACTAGGCACAGCAGAAAATACAGTATCTCTTTCTGTTTCTCAAAATTATGCCATCTGGGTTTCTATCCTCCACTTCCCTCTCCAGGTCCTTACCTTTCTCCCAGTGCCACTCCATTCAGAAACATCCTCACAGCTCCTCTTCCCTGCCCTGGCACCAGCCTCAGCTGACCATGGTGACTGCACACCAGCTCTTTCCACTCTCACTCCTGAATGTCCCTTCCCTCCATCCGTCCCCCCCACTACCACCTGCCTAGTGCCTGCTGTCACTATCATTTACTTGAATTTCTGCAGCCCTATACACAAATCTGTCTTCATACCTGTCTTCTTCAATCGATTTGCCAGCCTGTAGTCAAAGAATCGTCTAGAATGCATTACTTTGTTATAAATCCCTTATTTTCTGTCTCCCTTAGAACCAAACTAAACACTTAACACTGACAAGATTCACCTCCTTTCCCCCACCCCCGCATGCCTTTCCACTTGGCACTCCTGGATCTGGGAGTGTAGAGGGAGAGGGCTCACAGTCCCCCCACCCCCAGCCTAGCTGACTGAGTACTCGTTGGAAACATCAATTCCCATGGAAACCTTCCCATATCCCAGCCTTTCCCACAAGCCCTGACACAACTCTGTTGTCTTCTAATAGTGACTGTTAAATTCTGTCACTGATACCATTTGCATCCCCACCTGTGAAGTGGATCCTTCTGGATTCAGGGTTGATTAGAGCTGTAGGATCCAGCTCAGGGACCACCTCTGAGTACATTGTCAACGGATGCTGTTACAGAAAAGTGGTTGCACGCCGATTCATTGGGGACCAGGTATACAGAGGCTGGTCCTCAAGGTCAGAGGCAGCATGGGTTAGAAATGAACTGCCACCAGCATACTAGCTCTTTGGCATTGGAACCCCGTAAATGGCTTAGGCCTTGATTAGAACCGATAGTCACTTCTCCCAGCTTGTCACCTGATGGTGGACCTTCGCTTATTCAGCTGTGCTCTGGATTTGATAGACATAGAGGCTGGGGGCTGCTTGTTTATTATGCGGTTCATTCTTGCTTCTGTTTCATCCCACAGTCTTCTTCCTAACTCAGAGGAGAATACAAAGCAGTGAGTCCTTGAAGCTTGGTGTGACCAAAGGGCTCACGCAGGCATTGCGGAAGGCTTTCCACCAGAACGACGTCTCTGCTCACGTAAGCTCTTTGCTTCCAACTCTTGGGACCAGAGTAGGAGTAGATGTTTTCCTCCTCTGTAGATGCCCCACCCACACTTGCCAAAAGTAGGATCTTTTGTCATTTTGGCTGGTAGTTGACATCTTGTGGCTGGAGGAAAGGTCATTTCAAGATGAAAGCTTAAGATTGATTACCTTATATTACTTTTATACTTTAAAATATTGTTCCATTGTTACATCGTTTGAAGAATATTTAGTATCCTCTAGAAGGTGCCCATTAATGTTTTGCTTTTGTTTTCTCTTTGTATACTGCACACTTATAAATAGTGTTTATTTCTAGGCATATGACAGGTATAAGAAAGCCTGGTAGACACTGAATGCTTATAATAATTCCAGACCATGAGGGGCTGAGACAGGGGGACCAACCCAAGTTTGTGGCTACAGACTAAGACTCTGTCTCAGAAACCCAACCCCAAAACCATTACTACTAGTAACAACAACAGCAAAAGCCCAAATTGCTCAGATCTGTGAGAAGAGTTCCGCTTTGTTTGGTGTTCCAGCAGCAGACAGGGAAGTAAACATTTTTCCCTCCAAACACTTTCATGCCAAGTACTGCCTAATAACTGCTGGCTGGTATCAATGGCACAGCCAAGTAATGGAGGCATTGTTTTTCAGTCTTTTGGGTTCATCCCAAGTAAATGCAACTGGCAGTCAGAGAGCTTCCTTTTGTACCACTTAAACATATCATCTGGCTTCCTCTTTCGATGGTCTGGGTGACAGCTGCATTCAGGCTAAGGGTCCCACCCCACCCATCACACAGAGGACCAGGGATGAGGTTTTGGCACATCTTCTACTGGTCATTGTCAGTCTCTCTTTTACAATTCTAAAAAAAAAAAAAAAGAAAAGAAATTGAGAGGAAGAAGGAGGAAGGGAGAGAAGGAGGGAAAAGCACTCTTCACTGGGTGATCCCTGTACTGGAGACATCAACATTTTTAATGCAAGAGTTGAACATGTAACTGCTCCCCTTCATCTGCCTGGTATGGTTTCCACTGAACCGCAGTCCTTTTCCAATGACCTCTGTAGCTTTGGCCGTCTGTGCACATGACCACTGCAACAGCCACTACTAGTCCTTAAAAACACTTGGTGCACTTTGTAAACGTCGCACATTTCTTTTGATACTTTTGTAGAAGCACAGTACAATTAATACAATACAATTAATTAGTAATTCAGGATCATTTGCTATGAGTAAGTGGTAGTGGCAAAAATAGTCTGCTAAGTGCCAGTGAGCGGCTGCTGCCTGCACAAGGCCAGGAGGCAGAGCTTGGCATCCCCTCTGTTCAGTCACTGGTTGATTTTTTGTGTGTGTGTGTTCGTTTTTAAAGACATGCAAGGGTTAGAAATGAATTAAAAGCAAGCAGTTCCTGGACCAAAGCTTGCACTTTGAAGTAATTAGAAGGGCTGGAGAGTTCCCTGCTCGCTCACTGGGTAGGCTGTTGTTCTTTAGGGCCATGTTCATGTGCCATCTTGAAGCTCCCTAGTTAGTCATTTTTAGAAAAGAGCCAGTGGAGAACATATGTTGGAAGGACCAAATTGCACCTGTCATGTAGCAAAATCAGTTTTCTTGGCTTCTTTGAAAAAAATTTGTGACCTGGGGCCTTGTGCATGTTAGGGAAATGTTTTTCCCCAGCCTGCTTCCCTAGTCCCACGTGACACTGATGCAGCTGCAGGCAGCGGGAAAGCATGCAAAGATTAAAGTAGCTTCACATAGAAATACGGTTTTACAGCATGAAGTCCATGGGAGATGGATGGCAGTGCTGGTCATATCCATTACCTGTGTGTTTAAAGTAACAGTGTAAAGCTTGGTTTAGATAGTAGACTGAATGTGATCTGTGTTTTATAACAACGAGAAACAGAGGGGAGCCCGGGATCCACTTAGGGGCAGAGCTTTTGTCTACCGTGCATAGAGCCCTAGGTTCCACCTCTGGCCATGAACACATACAAACACACACACATACACACTATACATGCAAACACCCACATACATGCATACACGAACACCCACATACATGCACACACATGCATACATACATGCGTACATACATGCATACATACACACATACATACACACACACATACACACTATACATGCAAACACCCACATATATGCATACACGAACACCCACATACATGCACACACATGCATACATACATGCATACACACATGCATACACACACGCATACACACATGTATACACACTATCCATACAAACACCACACACACACAAACACCCACATGCATGCACACACGGACACCCACATATATGCACACACATGCATACATACATGCGTACATACATGCATACATACACACATACACACATACATACACACACACTATCCATACAAACACCCCACACACACAAACACCCACATGCATGCACACACAAACACCCACACATATGTTCAGACACAAACGCAACCCACTCATGCATAGAAATGAAGAGATTATAAAACAGCATCTAGTCTGCATCCAAACATTTGTATGAATATGCATGTATATTTCTTTACATGTATATAAACATATATATACATAAGATATGTGTTCCTGGGTAAAAGTGATTGAAAGAAGATATACCTTGCAGGTGGTGATGGTTAATACCTGAGGCAACTGTCATTCTGTTTTCAAAACTCTAATTTTATGACAAACACCACATTTAATATATTAAAAAACAAAACCCACATTTAAAATTATAAACATAAAACTATCCACTGGGAAAGAGAGGGCTCAAACCATCAGTGTCCCTTAAGACTCATCTGGGAGGGAAGCCCTCTGATTTGTCCCCACCTAGGCCTTGAATCCATAGCTAAGCCAGGGATGAAGCCAAGTCTGAAGGCGTCCTCTCTGTTTCAAGGGGAAGACTCCACTTTAGTTATTTCGTGGCCCATCCCCAGAAGGTGCCTTACCGCACTTATCATCTCTGCCTCTGGCTCTCAGGAGTGAGGAGATGTAACTTTTCCTAACCAACATTCTGTTCCTTAGTCATTCCTTCTGCCCACTGTCCCCTTTCTGAATCTTTGATGATTTAAAACACTTAAGGAATCCAAAACCAGGTTCAGCTTTATCTCATCTGGGTCTGATGTGAGTTTGTGGGTGTGGGCTCTTCACCCACTTTGATCCCAAATAACTGTAGGGCATTTCTATGCCCATTGTAGTCCATTTTAGCTCCCAAATAAATGATGCAGAGACCTGGTATTTTTTGATCAACAAGCTGCTGGCATTATGCCGGGTTCTGAGCTATTTTCCATCTACTGCCTACTTCCTGGCTATGTGGTCCTTTACCTGCATCTGAGTCTTGTCTTGGCTCACTCTGGTCCACGTGTCCTCATGGCAAATCCTCCTGGTGGCCACATGGTCTCCACACCTTCTCTCTTCCTTTCCTTCCTCTCTCTTCGTCCCTCTCCCTCCCTCTTCCCCCTCTCTCTCTTCATCTTTCTCTCCCTCTCTCTGTTTTGTTCTCTCTTTCTCTCTCATTCTCTGTCTGTCTCTCTCTCATTCTTTCTCATTCTGTCTGTCTCTCATTCTGTTTCTCATTCTCTTTCTCTCTCTTCTCTCATTCTCTCTTTTTCATTCTCTATCTCTCTCTCATTCTCTCTCTCATTCTATCATTCTCTCTCTCATTCTCCCCCACCCCTCTGACTGGTATTGAAAGTCCTGCCCTAATTTATTCTCCTGCCCAGCTATTGGCTGCTCATCACATTATTGACCAATCAGAGGTGATGGAAAACAATCTTTACATATAACTCAACATCTGAATGCACAGTCCCCCGACATGAGTTTTACTTTCTTGTGTTGTGATACATTGGAACTCACATGTTCACCTTATGGGGTCGGTAGGATATTTGTTCAATGGGAATGTCTAGTCTTCCTAAGTAACAGCTGTGGCTCTGAGAACACAGAGAAGAACCTAAAATACTGTGAAAATAAACAACGAGTTCTGGGGGTCCATTTGTTTTGTAGGTGGACATTCTGGAATATTCTCATAATGTCACAGTTGGCTATTATGCTACCAAAGGGAGGCTGGTGTATTTGCCGGCTGTGGTGATGGACATGCTGGGTGTGTATGGAGTCAGCAATGTCACTGCCGATCTGAAGCAGCACACTCCCAACTTACAGTCTGTGGCGGTGCTTGCCTCTCCATGGAAACCCCAGCCTGCAGGTGCCGTCCAGCTGAAGACAGGCAAGTCACCCAAAAGAAAAGGCCCCATCATCCCAGGACCAGACAAGCAGATCTCTGTTTAAACACCCCACTGCTGGCGGCATCTCCACTTCTGTAGTCCTTATACCTCCAAACTTCCCTGCTCATCAGAGATCCCAGAATCCTGCCTAATGGCTGTAACCCTAGCTTTCTTAGATTCATTCCCCCATAGAGGCTTTTATTCCCAATCTGTATGTTTAGTGCATCAAAGCACAGAATGCCATGTTTCCCCGTTTCTTAGCAGTCTTAGTACTAAGACTTGAGTGCCCATAAAACCTATAGTCTGAAGCTACAAGGTTTTGGTTGTTATTGAAGGGATCCTACCGAAAAGGCTTTGACATCTTTCTCTCAATTTCCCTTGTGATTTCTGATTTGCAAAGTCTGTAGACCACAAGGGTGGAGAAACCACTGCAATGGGAACCATCAGCTTAGTGATGGAGGACAATTGACGGTCACCATCCACAGAAATAGATGACACTGTCTGTCATCATTGAGCAGATGTCTGCAGAGTCTCATGGGATAAAGTCATGATATCCTTTGTGTTGGAGAGAACCTTGAGTTCAATCATGCTTTTAATTATCCTCTGCTATAAATCATCTTAAGAGGCACTTTCAAAGTATAATTAAAGCTTGTCTGGTCTTTTTGCTTATTTGCTTAATTTCTGTAACCTAAAAATCATGCTGTTTTGTATATTGGCTGCTATTAAATTTGAGGAGCTAAGACAGAGCATTGGCAAGTGCTGATCCCTGGTTCTTCTTCAGTGCTGCAGTTTGTAAGCCAGTCAGACAACATCCAGTCCTGCAGGTTTGCCCAGACAATGGAGCAGAGGCTGCAGAAGGCATTCCAGGATGCAGAGAGGAAGGTCCTCAACACCAGGAGCAACCTGACAGTTCAGGTAGGGAACAGGGGTGTCAGGCTGCAAAGACAGACAGCCATACTGCATAGATTGACCAGAAATGATGTGGTTTCCCCCCATCTAAACTGTCATATGCAAATGTAAGTTTGTACTTTGGGCAGGTGATATAGATGTGGCATTGGTGACGGTGGCTGAGATCTGGCTATGGCAGGTAGGATTCCATGTCACTATGAACCTACCACAGTTCCGGGATCAATATTTGTTCTTTATATGTAATGTTTCATCCAGTCTTTCTAATGAGTTTATTATTAGAGAATTAAACCTGAGTATACCTTACAAGATGGATCAATGTGTGTGTGTGTGTGTTTCTGTGTGTGTGTGTGTGTGTGTGTGTGTGTGTCATTAGGGAGTACATGCTATGATGCAAACGTGGAGTGAAGAGGACAGAGAATGAGTTCTCTCCTTCCAACATTTGGGTTCCGGCGATCAAGCTCAGGTTGCCAGGCTTGGGGGCAGGCACCTGCCTCTGCTGATGGTGCCTGTGAATTGATTTTAAATCACCAACTCCATTGTGATTTTCTGTGATTAACTGTTGTGTGATTTTCATTGGGCTAGTTCCAAATTTCAACACAAAAAATGATCACCACATGCAAACAAAAACATCCATGAAAGACACCCACATCTTTTATAGTGTGGGCTCGCTCTCAGCCAGCTACTGTGTAATGATCAGACATACTCTAAGATATCATCTGCATTTTGTTCAGGTGAGAACTGAGAGAAGGATTATGACATTCCTGGAAGATCACATGGTTGGAAAAGAATGAAGCAAAGATGTGAGCACAAACTCTGTGTTCTCATCCACCACGCTGTACCAACACCGGTGCAGTGTAGGAAGGGTGTCCCCGAGCCCTTGGCAAGTGCACAAAACTTTCCCAGGGAAATCCATCTCCTGGCTAACAGTGTGAACACCAAAAGCCTTTCTCAGACCCGTGTGTGTGTGTGTGTGTGTGTGTGTGTGTGTGTCTGTGTGTCTGCGTGTGTGTGTGTGTGTGTGTCTGTGTGTCTGTGTGTCTGTGTGTCTGCGTGTGTGTGTGTGTGTAGCTAAGATTTCAGTAAGACACTTCTTAATAATATTCATCCAGTCCCCAAATTCTCTAATTAATGCTACTATTCTGTGTCTGTTTTGTCTACTGAACTAAAGCCTTTGCAATTAGACCGGGGGCTTTTGAATTTGACATTTAGCATAAGTGAATTATCAGCAAAGCCAATACAATGTAGAGAGCACATAATCTAATTTGCAGAAGCAGCTTTCGTTTTCCAGACTCAGGCAAAGTAGACGGGCGAGGATATCATTACGACTCGGTGGCTAGGATCTCATTCTGACTCTGCTCTTATTAGTCTAAGATCTAACAATGTGTCACAGATTTAAGATTTATGTAAGCAGTGTGACTCAGCTCTTGTGGGAAATCTTTTTCTTCAGGGTTAGACCCCTGGTCTTAGCTGGTATGTGAACCTAGGTGGTTATTGGTGCAGAATACACTTTAAGAGATTTCTTGAGCGCCTGCTGTTTATTAGATGCTGAGAGATCAGATACCATTATAAATAAGTTGCCCTTGGCCTTCAGCCTGTTTTGAGCTGCTTATGAGTTATCAGATGAAAAGTAAGGAACAACGCTTGCTTAGAAAAGACTAGAACGGGTGACTTGACCATTGTATCTAACTAGATTTGAGATGCTGTCCAACATGTTAGAAGCCTTCAAAATTAATGGAATGAATTATTTTATCAATCCCATTTTATGATTGGCCTTGGCCATTGTGAAGTAATGTCGCTGGATTTAACACTCCTTTCTTGGTCCCTGTATCATCACAGATAACTTCATGTTCACTGTCTTCCTGGGCTCGTGGTACTTTGACTTTCAAATTGATGTTTTTGTAACACCTTTACATTTCATTATATTAAATACAATGCGTTTGGTACTTTTAATACTTTGTGGAATAACAAGATGTAAACATCAGAGTCATTGGGAAAGTGACTTTAAAAAAGCATACATGAGGAGCTGGCTTACCGTTGACTCTGTGAGGGTTGTAGCAGAATACACACTTCCCAGACAAACAGGAAGAGGCTGTACTGGCCTCCCTCCACTGAGAAGGTCACAGCTTATTGGCTAGGGGCACAACTGGATCCAGCTGCATCAACATTGACTTCAGGAAGTTCTCTGTTCATCTTTTGCCTTGACTTCCTCCAGACCCCTTCTCTTCTTTCTTCTCCTTTTAAGACTTATTTGTTTTTATTTTACTGTATGTATGTATGTATGCTTTGCCTACTGTATGTACATCTGTGTATCACATGCATACAGTGCCCATGGAGGCCAGACAATGGTCTCTGATCTTCTAGGACTTGGGTTACAGATGGCGGTAAGATGCCATGTGGGTGCTTGGGAAACAAACCCAGGTTGTCTGGAAGAACGGCAAGTGCTCTTCACTACCGAGCTGTCTCTCCAACCCTTGCACACTTCTTACCTGTGCTGAGTAATCCTTGGTACTTCTAGATTTATTTTATTCTTATTGCTTATGGTCTTATGAAACCAAAGAGCCTTTAAAATTTTTATTTATTTATTTATTGTTTGTTTGTTTGTTGTTTTGTTTGTTTATTGGTGTCATTGTAGTCCAGACCCTGGGACTGCCTCTCATTGGCCCACTGTGCCAACTTCTGGATTGGTAACTGTGGCCAAGGAGTATCCTGGTCAACATGGTCTGGCACAGATGCCTACTCTTGAAACGAGAAGGGGGCAGCTGTACCCAAAGTACATGGACAAAGTGGAGAAGGGAGGTGACTTCCCAGGGACCATGGTACTACTGTCATAGAAGGAGAAAGATGGTGGCAACGAAGTGTTCTGTGGTCTATCTAATTAGCTAATGATCAAGATTGAGTGAGTGAAAAGATGGGGTGAAAGGTTTCATAAAAAGGCGTGACTGAGTTCACTACAGAAGATATAAAGGCATGGAAACAGAGCTGTGTTTATTGCTCAAAAGATCTTAAGCTATAACTATCTCAATATTCCCCAATGGGAATTTTGGTTTGAATCTGATCCCTTCCAAAATCCCATTCAAGAGGCAGAGACAGGAGGATTGCTGTAGATGCAAGGGCAGTGTTGCTTGCATAACAAGTTCAAGACCAGACAGAGTACATAGTCCTGTCTCAGAAAACAGAGAAAGGAGGGACAGGGGCAAGAGTGAATGCTTGCTACTCTTACAGAAGACCTAAATTCAGTTCCAAGTGCCCATGTCAGGCAGCTCACAGCCACCTGTAACTCCAGCTCTCGAGGGTCTGACACACTGTTCTGGCCTCCACAAGCACCCTGTATGCACTGGTACATGCATGTGCGTGTATATACACACACACGCGCACGCACACACACATATACACACACACACACACACACACACATCTTTTAAGAAAGGTTTTTAAAACCCCTAGTGATGGTTTTAAAGACAGAAACTGAGGACTCTGTCCTGAAGTACATATAGAGCCTCTAAAGACTTTGAGCAACAAAAGCAATCTTGACAAAGAATGAATTCTGTGTCATACTTTCTTGTTTCAAAAGTTTATTTTTAAAAAGCTAATATAAGCCAGGCGGTGGTGGCGCACGCCTTTAATCCCAGCACTTGGGAGGCAGAGGCAGGCGGATTTCTGAGTTTTAGGTCAGCCTGGTCTACAGAGTGAGTTCCAGGACAGCCAGGGCTACACAGAGAAACCCTGTCTAAAAAAAAAAAAAGCTAATATAACCAAAACAGTGCGCTCTCAATTGTATGAAAGACATAGAGACCAATGGTCTACTTGTATAGGGTGAAACAATTTTAACCAAGGCTGGACTATGAGGCAAACGGCAATCTTTTTAATAGTGACTATCCACACTACAAAAGAAGGAAGTTGAAGCTATACTTAACATCATCAACCAAAATCTCTCAAAGTGGATCAAAGACGTGCATGTAAGAACTAAAGCCAAAGGGATCAGAGCATAGAGGAAAGAGCTCACAGGCCTGTGCGTGGTGGACCCCACTGGAAAAACCACAGAGCCAAGAGAAACAAACGCATTGGCTGCCCTCAAAAGCAAGAACTTCACCTATCAAAAGACACTAATAACAGAATGAGAGATACCACAGAATTGTGAATCATCTATCTGTTAAGTGGCTAATATCTAGAACCAGAACTTAAAGACACAGAGAGAACTCCTGCCATGCATCCATTAAACGAAAGTGAATAAGAAAAGAGGTCTGGGATTGGTGCTGAATTTGCCGAGTATGCATAATGCCCTGGGTTTGAACTGTCACCCTGAGGAGAGGTGGGGGGGCAAGCAATAAAAAGGCTTTGACCCAACACTTTAGTAATCATGAGACACCATTTTACATTTATTTGGATGACCAGTCTCAAAAGCAAAGCACAACCCTAGAAGAGTATGAGTTGTGAGGACCTAAAGAAGTTAGGAACCTTGTGTACAGCTAGAGGGATGTGGGGTGGTTAGCTGTGGAAAACAGGACCATGTCCACTCAGCCCCCTTTAGCCAACACCACTGGACAAAGAAACCATTGTGTAGTCCTTGAGGGCTGGCCTGCGGGATGCCCTCTGTGACATACAGGGTAGCAGCAAGGAGATCTGGAGAGAAGGGCACACACTGCACACAATCCAGCAGAAGCTCCCTGCTAAGCACTGATTTTTCTCCTCATGTTTTTCAAATGTTTGAGATATTTTTATCCATACATTGACCCAGAAAACCTCATTCCCGCCTCCAGCAACTAAAAATATGAAATAAGATGAGCATGAGAAGAAACCCATGCTATCTTACAGACCTTTCCCCTCATAATCCACACCAATTAATGGTCCACAAAACAAAGTAACTGCTCTGTAAAGGATTTATCTTGTATTTTCTGAATTCCTGTTATGCCTGTATTCAGTCACCCTGCTCAAAACACCAGGTGCACATTCCTTTTGATATGAAAGGTCCCAGAACATTTGACAATTGGGTTCTTCATTGGTATCTGTATGCTCTATTTCCAGAATTGTAAGTCATTTGAGATATTTTAGCCCAAATAAAGGACACAGGAGTAGTTAAAAGCTGAAAATCAAGGCTACTTGGGTTCAAATCCTGTTACTATCTTACTTTGATTTTTTTTTTGTGACGAGACACTGTAACCAAGGTAACTCTTATAAAAGAAAACATTTCACTGGGGCTGGCTTACACGTTCAGAGGTTCAGTCTATCATCACCATGGTGGGAAGCATGGCAGTGTGCCAGCAGACTTGGTGCTGGTGGAGCCAAGAGTTCTACATCTTGATCCGAAAGCAGCCAGAACGAGACTGTAATTCCACACTGGGTGGAGCTTAAGCATTGGAGACCTCAAGCCCACTGGCACAGAGACACACTTCCTTCAACAAGGCCACACCTATTCCAACAAGGCCACACCTCCTAATAGTGCCACTCCTCATGGGCCAAACATTCAAACATGAGTCTACGGGGGCCAAACCTATTCAAACCATGTTAGGGATAAGCTTTCTGACCTTAAGCAAATCCCTGTAACTCTGGGCCCTGTTTTCCTCATTCATGAAAGGCAGTTGTAAGTGGATGCTATCCCAGAGTTAGATCCAGATGGAGATGAGGTGTCCATAGCCCAGTGCCTGGCATGCCCCTGCAATCTGTAAACAATGACTTGCTATTCTTTTTTCCTCCTTGCTGTCTCCCCACTGCCCTTCCATCGCAACCCACGACTTCTGTTGAAACATCCCTTCCTCGGCCTCCATGACACAGACCCTCACCTTATTTGGCCTGTCTCCTTCCCCTTTGCTCCTGTGTCATTCAGATCGTGAGCACGTCCAACGCCTCTCAAGCCGTCACACTGGTGTATGCGGTGGGCAATCAGAGCTTGTTCCTCAACGGCACCGTGGCCAGCAGCCTCCTTAGCCAGCTCTCAGCTGAGCTGGTGGGATTCTACCTCACCTACCCTCCACTCACCATCGCTGAACGTGAGTACGTGCACCACAGCCTCACTCAGAAGGGCCCTGTGGTTTCCCTTGGGCATCTTTCTCCACAAAATAGAAGAGCTTCTGTTGTGCTACCTTGTTTTACCTTGAGCAAGTGAGAATACAGCAAATGGGGGTTGAATTGACAAGAAGTTCACTGCACACTGCAAGAAAGCCCTTGTTTGGTGCTTACGATAAGCCTATCAGGCAGGTGTAAAACAAGAAGAGAAAATTAAAGCCCCCTCCCAATGCATGTTTTCACAGGATATCCATTCTCCCACAGCTAATCGGGCTGCACTGGGACCTGTGCTCTGAGCACTGCCTTCCAGGTTGCCATGGTTTTCTCTCTCCTCCACAAATGTTCCTAGACCTTCAGGTCCAGCTGGCTACAGACTTTGTGACTGAGTCGTGACTTCACTTGAAGTCTCCATAGTCTGAGGTCTTGGCTGTCTCAAATGCTTGTTACATAATCCTCATTACTACATGGTCACCATAGACTTTGAAGATAGTGCAGCCCACGTTTGTCACTAGACACTTGCTGGTAGTGATGGTCTGTACTCTAAATTTAATCATTACATTTCACAAGGTCACTGGCAAAGATTTCCTTTTAAAATATACCTATTAGCAAACGTATTTCATAGTTTCTTTCTGTAGTTGTTTTGATACTAAAAACAAATGAGATTCTGTGTGTGTGTGTATCTGTATGTATGTGTCTGTATGTGTGTATGTGTGTGTATGTGTACATGTGTGTCTGTATGTGTGCATGTGTATGTGTCTGTATGTGTGTGTGTATGTGTGTTTGTATGTGTGTCTGTATGTATATGTGTGTGTCTGTATGTGTGTTTGTATGTGTATGTGTGTGTATGTGTGTGTCTGTATGAGTGTTTGTATGTGTATGTGTGTGTCTGTATGTGTATGTATGTGTCTGTATGTGTGTATGTGTATGCCTGTATGTGTGCATGTGTGTGTGTGTATGTGTGTGTTTGTAAGTGTATGTGTGTGTCTGTATTTGTGTTTGTATCTGTATGTGTATGTGTGTATGTATGTGTGTTTGTATCTGTATGTGTGTCTGTATGTTTGTCTGTATGTGTATGTGTGTGTCTGGATGTGTGTGTATCTGTATGTGTGTGTGTGTGTGTGTGTATGTGTCTGCATGTATATGTGTATGTGTGTGTCTGTATGTCTTTGTATATTTGTATGTGTCTGTATGTGTGTGTTCGTATGTATGTCTGTGTGTGTGGATGTAGACGATGTACTTGTCACGTAGCAGCCACTGAGAAGCTTTTAAATGTGTGTTTACTGTAAAGATCTTATAAATTTTTAGGAAGCATGGATGACTCTGGACTTTATAAGAAGATTATGTCAGCCAGCCAGTGATGGCACACACCTTTAATCCCAGCACTTGGGAAGTAAAGGCAGGCAGATCTCTGAGTTGCAGGCCAGTTTGGTCTATAGAGTAAGTTCCAGAACAGCAAGGACTACACGAAGAAACCCTGTCTTGAAAAACAAACAACAAACAAACAATGTCATTAAAGCTAGCAGGACGGCGTGGGGCAGCGGGTGCAGGAGCTTTTCCAGCTTGGTGTTCTGATAATAACCACAGTAAAGCTGAACTGAGCAGCAAGGGTTGGGGAAATGGCTCAGCTGGCAAAGTGCTAACTGTGTGAGCCTGAGAATATGAGTTTAATCTCGGTATCTATGTTTTTAAAAAAATGTCTTGTGAGGTGCTCACAGCTGTAACAAGTGCTGCACAAGAGGACCTATCCCTCTCGAGAGCTCACTGGACAGTCAGGGTAGTCAAATCATCAAGCCCAAGGTTTAGTGAAGAGTCTTGTCTCAGAAAATAAGGTGGAGAGCAATTGAGGAAGACAGTCGCCATCATCCTCTGGAGTATACATACAAGTATACACATGCACACATGTATACACACATGCACACACGTACACACACATGTACACATGTACACACACATGCACACATGTACACACATGCACACATGTACACACACATGTACACATACGAAGGATTTATTGAGCACTGGTTATATGACAGGCACTGTACAATGTCCTTTACATGTGTGAATTTTCACTGTCACCATGCTGGTAAAGCATGATGATAACTTTTCCTCCCAATGCTGGGGTACCACATGTAAGCCCTTAGCACTGAAAAGATCCCATTTAGAGATGGTCACTCCGTATGACCTTCATGGTGCTAGATGATCTCTGCAGAGGAAGCCCCTGCTATGACAGACTGCATAGTAAGGCTGATTGTAAAGCTGCTCCAGTTAAGACGGTTCGAAAGGGAAACTTCAAAGAGACAAACTCTCGAATCTGAGCTCCCTGGACAAGTTGTCCCTTTTCTGAGTCACTTTTATACACAATGAGATAGTCTGGCCTGTGTGCCTCAGAGTTCTCAGGAATGGCGGTGTAGGAGCTAGCTACTTGCCAGCATGTCACTTCTGTTGCCCTTGATAATTTTTACTCATAAAACCTATCAAAGAAATTTGATGTGTTTCTTCATCTATTTTAGCACTGGAATATCCCAACCTCGACACATCAGAGACAACCAGAGACTACTGGGTTATCACAGGTAACCTCTTAATTTTATAATTCCCTCTTTGTAGTATCACAGGTTTGTCTAAAATGGTGTCATTTGGTGACAGGATCTATGCCTTTGACCCTGCCTTATAAGTCAGGGGATTCCTTCTATAGGGCTGGAAGGGAGTAGGGAATCGAGTAAAGGACCCTGAAGATAATTACTGATAAACAATTCAAAATTATTGGCTCAGTGATCCCCTCCCCAGCCTTTCACACACAGCAGCCCCAGTGTGTGATGTCTGGGGCACGTCTGTGTGAGTGGCTGTCTGAACAGGCCTTTCTGAACTGCCCTGAAAACCCCAAATCAAAGCCAGAGGAGGGCTGAATGTGTGCCGCTCCTTCTGGGGACACAGCCCGCCCCACACCAACCCCTATGTACCCCAATGATGAGGTCGCATGGGAGTCCAAGAGTCAGAGTGTTCTGGTGGCATTTTCTCCTTTTTCCCTTGACATTTCTCAGCTGAACCTTACGGACCAGCAAAGGCATTCTGTCTGTGTTTTCCAAAAGTCACACAGTGACTGTGAAGTGAGAAACAGCATTTGAGGCAAATGGAGAGGACAGATGTGCTAGGAGCAGAGTGACTAGCCCAGCCATTGGCGTGTAGACAACTGAAAGTTATATTCTCCATGTTCTGAGAGTCTGAGACCAAGGCGCTGATACCTCTGTGCCTTCCTCCCTCTCCTTGGCTTGAAGTTGGTCACCTTCCCCGTTTGTCCCCACCTGTTCTTCCCTCTGAGCCTGTCTGTGTCCTGATTTCCTTTCCTTATAAGGATACCAGACACACTGGATTAGGGCCCATACTCATGACCTGATTTTTATGTCATTACCCCTTTAAAGACCCTTTCTCCAAATACTGTAACCCTCTGACATACTAGAGGCTAGGGCTCACACACATGAGTGTGGGGAACATAGTCCAGCCCATCACAAGGAGGCAGGATGCTCCTTCAAGGCGTGAGAATGTGTCTGGGTAAGCGGCCACCCAGACTCTCCTCCCTCGTCCAGCGTCCCTCACTGCTGTCCCTCACAAGTGGCAGATAGACTGCTGCCGAGAATTCCATCCAAGCAGTTCCCACCCTGCTAGATGATGCCTGCCTAGGCTCCCTTCTAAAGGACAGGTCACCTAGGTGCCCACCACACATACATACACACACACACACACACACACACACACACACACTGCAGGGTCTTCAGTATAGAGATCATTTTTACTGCCAAGAAAGCAAACTAATGAAGCACATTTTTAACAGATTAGAAACCACCCTTCGAGGATGCAAGCCTGAGAGAGAAGTGGGGGGGAGCACTAACCAAGCAACACATGAGCCAGTGGGTTACATAACGACACAGAATCATGTGTCCTCCGCAAGCAATGGTGCCTTTCCCCTCACAGGCAATCCCCCGTCTCTGAACTTTACAGTTTACATGCAATGATCATAATCCATCCTTAAACACAGGCTGCCCTTGACAACCACCGATGACATCCCCTCCGAATCTCCCCACACCTTGCCGCATCTTCATTTTAGCAGTATTACCTTAAGAGAAAATCACACACTCAGTCTGGCTTCTGGGCTCCCCTGCGACTGAACCCTTCACAGTCACGGAACCTTCTTTCTCACTGCTGTTGTTGGTGTTGCAGTTGGTGATCGAAACAGAGTTACCGCTGTCTCTCTGGTGGTGGCATCAATCAGTTAGCACTTCTAAGGAACTGGAACTGTTTTGGCATGACCCTTCCATCTGAACCAGGACCACTTTTACAAACTCCTGGGCAGCTCTGCCAATCTTCTCTGTCACAAAAGGAGGTGCTTGTGACAGGGTGCTAACATTGAAGGTCTCTGCTAGGCTTTGGCCCCCAGACGATCACCACAAGCTCTGTCCCTTTCAGTTTGTAGCAGCTTCCCCTTTCTGCAGTTTCTGTTACAAACCATGCATGCTTTTGCCTCTTTTCCAACTGTACTCAGATGGAGCATATTGTATACTTTCCCTGTCTTGCAAGGGATGGATCCTTCTTTGATGGGAAGTCACCAGTAATGGGTGGTTCCAGTCTCTCTTTACAGAGAACTCAGGGGCTGTCCTGCCATCTACAGATCCTGCAATTGGTTTTATAGAAATGAAGCGAGATAGAGATACCCAGATATTAGTGACTAGGGACTGGAGAGATAGCTCAGTCAGCTAAGTGCTGGTCATGCAGGCCTGAGGGCCTGGGTTAAATCCCCCAGACTCCACATCAAAGAAGAGGTAGAGGTGGACAAATCTCTGGGGTTCACTGGCCAGCCAGCCTAGGTAATCAGCAAGCCCACAGGATACTGGTCACTAACAGATGTAAGAGGCCACCTCATGTTTATACACCTGCTTCTATTTTATTCAACAGAGACAAAACGTCCTAGATCCAGTAATGAGTGACTTTCTTCTCATCTCACCTATGCTTCTTACTGTGTGTCCTAGAGCCTGTCCCCTGGGGCCCTCCGGGGTTTCACACACTCACCTGTAGGATGAGAGGACATTAGCTGAGCATAGAGGCTCTTGGAGTTTGAATGTGTGGGATCCAACCACACACGAAATAGTTTAGCTCAAGTGCAGGAGGCTGACCCTTGCCTGACGGTGGATCTTAGAGCCAGTGTGATTATAAATAAAGTGAGAAGGGAAGAGTCACAGTCTTGGACATTCAGACATAGCTCCTCTGAACACAGGGAGGGACTTGCAACGCCTCCTCTAGTCTGGATCTATAGTGACTAAGAGTGGGTGGTGAGAGGGTCCTGGTGGTGTGCTGAGGGCTCTGTGCTCCTGAGTCACTGTGAGGGACATGTGTGGGTACACACAGTTTTATTGCCTTTCAGGAAGGCAGACAGGTCCAGGAGAGTGTGCTGAGGTCCTTAGGGGAAGGTAGGGAGACAATATGCAGGGACACAGGTCCATTCCTTTCAGGCCACTCTTCCTTTGTCAAGAATGTACCTTGCAAAGCTATGACAGCAACAGCTCCCTCATTGTGGTGTACTAACAAATGTCCTATAGCACCATGTAGCACCATGGTTAAAGGCATTATTTATTGACTTATTTCTTCTTCACAATCAGTAGTTCAGTAGGGAACTGAGGCTCCTAGGAACCATGTGGAAGGGGAACCATGACTCAGACTCACACCCCTGCTTCTGACCCCCAGTTCCACCCAGCTGACATAGAGGAGATCCCACTTTTTTTTTTAAGAGCTGCAGTGACACACACAAGCCATTTAGGCACTGACCACTGCACTCCTGAGAGTGAGTCCCACACTCTCCCATACTCTCCTAAGGGGATTTCTTAAAAAGAGGACTGCACTGAAAATACATATAGGGTAAAATGCCCCTTTTAAGCATCTTAAACGTACAGTTCAGTGGCATAGAGAATGTCCATAATAAAACCACCAATGACTGAGGCATGCCCACCTCCTAGAAGAGTTTGACTATTGCCTTTACTTGAGGTCTTCCTTTGAATCATGACTGAGATTTTCATAAAGCAATCACACACACACACACACACACACACACACACACACACACACACACACTTCCTCTTGTCCAGTGGTCCAAGGAGGCCAAATTAGAAACCATATTTCAGTGTATTGGCCTGTAAATTAACCAGATGAGGTATTTTTGAACCTGCAGGTTTACAGACTCTCCTGTCTGTGGTAGGAAGCCCTGGGAACCCCAGGTCTCTGACAGTGAGAGCAACACAGCAGCATACACCTCTGTTTGCAGGAACTTGGCTAGAGTCTCTCACCAGGGCCCCAGAGCCATGCTTTATACCCTCCGGGGATCACTTGGCATTTATGGCTTCAAAGAAATGATTTCAGAGACCCAGCTGTGGGTTTTATTTCTCTCTTGTTCTGAACATGAACGTCATCTTTGACGGCTTAGTCTGGCCCTGCGTGGATTCAATCATTGGTGCTGACTGAACGCAGCATCCTGCCAGAATAGCAGCTACAGACCACATGCTCTTTAGGAGGGGCTGTTTCTGTATCTTGGTGGATGGATGGTATTCATGATACTGCTCTGGATTGTGTTAGAACAAACTCTATTAGATGAAGACTCTTCTATCCCATTCCCAAGCCCTTGTGAGTTTTGAAAAAGAAAAGAGATAATCCATTTGAGCACTTAAAATTTAGGGTACAACTGTGTCTGAAGGCACTGTTTGCATGCTTGGTGTACAGATGCTTCCCAAGAGATGGAGAGCAAGGATTGGACTCTGGATATAAATGAAAACAAGCACTCTTCCTTGTAGAAAGCTTTAGAGAGGCCCTAATGCTCATTACAGCTCTCATCGATGCACTGGCAGTAGCTTGCAACTCCACTGTCATCATCTCTCCTGTTGTCCCCAGATAGTCCAAGTAATGGCTGCTGAGATACAGCCAAGGAAAGGGAAGGGCCAGAAAAGGATCCCACAGACCTCCTATGGACAGGGCCAAACTGCCTTATTCATCCTCTTCCTCTTGAACTTTAGAGCCCATTAGCCATGTACTTCCGATGAGGTACCCTTCCTTGCCCTTTCTACAGAGGACTGTATCTCGGTGGCTTGCCAAAGGCCCCATGATTAATAAGAAGTAAGAGACAGCACACTCCTTCCATTATGTTGTTCTGTTCTTGAATGGGAGAGGACCTGAGGGGCTCTGGGTAGCTTTAGAGATAGCAACCGAAAGATCCCACCTAATAGGAAGATATACGCTACAGAACAGCAGAGTTGTCCCAAATGTATGTGCTCAAGTTCCAGGATGGCTCTACAAATCCTCCACAAAGCTGTTGAGAAAGAGAAATAAGCCCTGAGTCAGGGTTTGCAAGTGAGAAGCACCCCAAATCCTAAGCTTGCAGCTCGTTGAGTCTCCTGTGGACCCTTTGCAGCATGTAGCATCTTTGATAGTTTGGGGTTGATGCAGTAGGTGTTCTCACAGAAGAAAGGCACAAGCTTAGGAATTATTCCAGCTTGGGTTCGTACCTTGATTCTGCTACTTACTAGCTGCCTTGGGCAGGTCACTAACTTTTCCAACACATGTAACACATGGGCAAGGATTCTCAACTCACAATCTGCCTTGGAGGAGAATTAGGTAAGGTTGGCCAAGCCGCCTTGGTGTAAGGTAGGCCCTTCTCAGCTTTGTGGGGCAGGTGGTGGTGTAGTTATTGAGTCAGCAGGGAGTCTGTGCTCTGAGCCTCCCCTTTGCCTTCTGCATCCTCAGTGCTCCAGGGTGTGGACAACTCGCTGGTGGGCCTGCACAACCAGAGCTTTGCCCGGGTCATGGAGCAGCGCCTGGCTCAACTGTTCATGATGTCCCAGCAACAGGGCCGGCGGTTTAAACGTGCTACCACCTTGGGAAGCTACACAGTGCAGGTAGGTGTGTGCACTGGGGTTGTTTTTGTTTTTTTAATGACTGTGGGTGGGGGGTGTTTCCAGGGACTAAACAATTCCCTGTGCCCAGAGGCATATCCTTGCTGCCAACTGACTTAAGCCGATTGATCAACATTCCTCTGAAGCTTTGGAGGCTGAGTCAGTATCTTTCTCCTTCATTGTTAGCAACTTGATTACCAGGAAAAGAGTCTCTATACATTCAGGTATTTACAAAGCCAAAAGTTCCAGTCACCTCAGACCCTCCTGTCAGTTCCTAGAACCTCCCAAAGAAACTACTAACACAAACTTCTCCAGGTTAGTTTTAAGGCACTTAAGAGAGTCTCTGGAAGGTTATCTGCACTAACCTACACAGCTTAGCCAGTTACTCCTAGAGTGGGAACGTCCATAGCATATTTGACAGCTTGAATATGATTAATTTACACTTCACCATTGAGAACCCATCTCTACCATGTTTGAAAAAGCTCTGTTGATCTTGGTATCATGTCACAGATGGCCTCCTGGTAGTGTTGCCTTCCACTGGCCTACAAAGTCTCACCATGTCCTTCACAGATGCACAGTGTCATGTTGTCTATGTGGAAATTGCAGGCATTAGCACAATCTGTCTGTGGATCACATCTCCACGACTTCTTGAAAGTCATGCATCTTCTCTCCCTGCATGAGCTGCACCACGACCTTTGTAGACACCATGTCTCCTAGTGAGCGGCAGTGTGTTGTGCTCATTGTCCTATTGGATGTCAGTTTAGTTCTGAGGTTCTGAAAGTCCGCACCATGACAGCCCATCCCTAGGAAAAAGGATGGTTCATTCCTATGCCAGGATTGTGATTTCACCATGGTAGGTCTGTTCTATGTAAGTCCTACAACTCACGTTTTGCCTAATGACAGAAAGCAAGTCACTGGACTGTGAAGTGGGATTTATAACAATCCAAGGGAGAGAAAGGGCCATCTTACAAGCCCGGTACTACTTGAAACCCTAACAGTTTTGCATGTCTCAGAGACTGCCATCTCTGAATTTTCTCATTGCTCAAGGCACTTGACTGTAGTTCTATGTAACATTGAACATAGCTAACATGTAGCTGTCAAATACACTATGCAGTTCTCCAGAAAGTTAGAGTGCAGCAAGTAGAGTTTCTTCTTTTTTCCCTGAAAATCTCTCTCTATAGAAGCTTTAGGTGGCCTCTGACATACCTGGATAAATCTTGGTAAGAAATCCTTACCAAGTTGGAAATGAGTGAAGCTAACAGGAGAATTTGGGGTTCACTAGCCAGCTAGCCAAGCTGAATTTGTGAGCTCCAGGTTCAGTGAAAGAAAGACCTTGTCTCAAAAAAAAAGGTAGAAAGTGATGGAGGAAAACTAGAGCAGGCACACACGTACACACACACATCACATACAGACACACACACACAAATACACTCATATACACACCATATATATACATAAATACATACATACATACATACAGACAGACAGACAGACACATACACAGAGACACACATAAATATACACATACACACATAGACACACATACACACACCACAGATACAGACATGCGGACAAATACACATACACATGTACATGCACACACCACACAGACATACACACACACCACACAGACATACACACACACTACACACATACACCTACACATACACATACAGAGCACTTAACCTTTTAAAATTATACTCCCTTTCTTCTTACCAAGTTGAGCATGGTTCTGAATTTTGTATTAAATCAGTCCTATTATTTTCTATATAAATTTTGCCCCTCCGTGTGTAGAGCCTTAAAAATATACCATATTGCCTTTTCTATTTCAAATTTTATATTCTGTAATTTGTAATCCACATTCATATTAACTGGAGTAGTCTGTTTATCATATTCTATTATGTGACTTTCTGCAATGTATTCGTCAGTTATTCAGTTTACTCCTAAAGACTTTGTGATTCTTCAGGGATTTCAGGGATGTTGTTATGGTGGTTGTTAATGAACTTACTATAAACAGTTTTGTAAAATCTTTATATATGTTCTATGAAACTCAACATCTATAATGTACACTCTGAAAATCTTATGTTTATCAATTGCTGATTCTAAAAAGTTGGAACCCTAAATGCTCCATATTTACATGCCTGCATGCATATAACAGTATTCTATGTCCATATCAAAATCTATGCTTTTGCACTTAGGATTATCAATTTGTAATTCCAACGGTTAAAAGCAGCACTCTGAATGGCTAACAGTAAGGAGCTTGGTAGGCCATTTTACGAGGCAAAGAGATGAATGCCATGTGGAAAGAAATTCTTCCGCTTTTGAAATATGTTGGGCCATTTAAAAAGGAAAGTAAAAATGATGAGCCTCAGGCCTCAGAGATGGCTCAGCAGGTAAAGACACCTGCTACCAAGCCTATGGACCTGAGTTCAAATCCAGGGACCCACGTGATAGAAGTAGGGAACCTGTTCCTGCCAGTTGTCCTCTGACCACACATGCATCATGACACATGTGTGTGCGTGCATGCACACATAAAAATGAGGTATGATGTCATGTACAGATTATGGCGATCTGAGAAGATAAAAAGGTTTGTGTAGAAAATCCAAAGATTAGGAACAAAAGCTCCAAGGTGATAACAGTTCTTTGGTGTCAGAAGAAGGACTATACATTGTTTTAATATTTTTCATTGTTTGATGCTTTTTCATCTGAATGTTTATTTTGTAGAGTTTTTGAATTAAAAAAAAAACTCCACAGAGATGCTTTAGAAAAATGAAGTTTGAGTTTCCAAGTACTGTTTCCATCAGAGGTCATTCCCATTGTGTAGACAGATAGGTCTTTTTTTTTACCCCTTTCAGGCAATTGAAGGTTTTTGAAATTAAGCACCTTGTTTGGGGATAGCCTAGCATGTCCTGAATTAACATAAAGGTCAATTTTCAAATGAGACCAGAGCTCGGTGGAGACTGGGAAACATCACTCTCCCAGCTTCAAACTGCTTTCCAGATGTTGCTGTTTTTCAAACCCCCATTCTCCTCCCAGTTCCGAGGATAGCAAGCTTCCTGGGACTCTGGCTGTAGGGAGGACCACAGGCCTAATGTCTAGCCTGTCACAGTGGGCCCACTAGGGAACAGCAGGATGGATGAGGCTGAGCCTTCTGATGGCTCAGAGGCCTGCAGGGCCAGTCCAAGATGTTCTAGCAACACCCCACCTCTCTCTTTCTGAAAGATGGTAAAGATGCAGCGAGTGCCAGGACCAAAGGACCCAGCAGAGCTGACGTACTACACGCTGTACAACGGGAAGCCACTACTGGGGACTGCAGCAGCCAAGATCCTGAGCACCATCGACTCCCAGAGGATGGCCCTGACCCTGCATCACGTTGTCCTTCTACAAGCTGACCGTAAGGAGTCTCTGTACTCAGTACTTTAATAGTGTTAAATATTTTCTGTGCATCACAGTGGTCTTCTAAGACCATATGAATGGTCTTACAGCTGAACACAGTTTGGATCCGTGAGGTTTGAAAATCAATCGGCTGCGTTTTCTGTTAAAGCCACAGGCTTTAGGAAAGGGATATGGTTTGCAATATCTAAATGAAGGTAGATAATAATAATATTTTTTTCCAAGTATTATCTTCTCTTTCTCTTCAAATCCAGTATAATCTAGCTACAAAAAAATAACTGCAGCTGAGATCATTTTTATATGCTGGGGGAGTTATAGGTAATTTGATTCAGTGAACGTTCAGTTCTCTTTGAACTATGCTTTGTACTGGAGGACATCAGAAGTGGGTGACAACTTGGCTCTAAGGGACAGAGTTGTTGACGCATAGAGCCGGCCGTGAGACCTGCAGAGGGAGGGTTTGCTTTGAAGGGGCTTCTGGAACGAGGGACAGAAGAAGGGTATTAAAACCAGTGCCCTCTCTGTGGCAGCCATTGTGGCACTCACTCTGATCATTTACCTTCTATTCTACCAGCCTCTATTTATTCAACTCCAAACAACAGGAGGGGAAACGGGCTCAGAAAAAGAGTAACCTGCTTACCCAGCACAGAACCAGCACATGGCCAAGACACCGATTTGAATGTTTTAGACTTCAGACTTGTGTTCCTGGTTGTGTCATACTTTAAGACATTAAAAGGAGGGATGGCTGTGTATTCAAAAAAAATCATGAGTAAAAAATACAGGGCAGATATACCAGGTGTGCCTGGAATACAAGTAGTTTAAATCGCCCAGGGCAAACAAACAAACAAACAAACAAACAAAAGCAGATGGAAGATGTGATGGAAGTAGAAAGATGTGTCAAATGGAAGACCCATGGCACTTAACAGGGTGTGGGGAGCTCTAGAAGATTCCTAAGCAAGAGAGTGGTTCAATTAGAGGTTCTCATTACCAAGGGAAGCTAATTGGACAGTTCTGTCTCAGATGGAGGAGAAAACAGGATCTGTGAGGAGATTCTATGGTGTCCCTTGCATTGGGGACCCAACTAAAGCTATAACCAAGGTGGAACAGAGAAAGGGTAAGGTTTGAAAGTGGGAGGTTGTGTATTGGGGTAAATCTCCAACCCAAATAGGGCCAATCAAAGAAAACACAACTCAATAATTATGAATACAAACTGCACGTCTAGATTGAGCAGATTTACCGCTACACTACTCTATTCCCCATCTATGAGACCCTTGTAACTTGCGGTTTTTCCAGGTCACGTCCTTCTCCTCCATCCTCCTTCCACCTCTCTTTCCTCTGGTCATCTCTCACCATTTCCTCTCCAGTCATATCCCACCCCTTCCTCTCTTCATCTCATCCCCTTCCCTCTTTTTCTCCCCTCCCCTTCCTCTCTTCTTCTCCCAGTTCCACCTCCTCTTCTACTGCCTAATCACTGAGCTCCACTGAGAATACAATGTAGCAGAGTGAGTATCCTGTTACAGTTGTGTGTATAGTTTTCATATTTGATAATGTGTCCTGCATGGAAGAGTATGGAAGGTCAGTTCCCATGGCTCTTCTCAATAGCATCCGCTCTCTCAAGAGCATCAGGTTGGTTCACACCTGGCTCATGGCTTTCCTCTCCTCCTCCTCCTCCTCCTCCTCCTCCTCCTCCTCCTCCTCCTCCTCTCTGGCTATCACTGGGGATGACCGACAGGCATATGCTTGGGTGGTACATCCACACAGACACACCTGTGCTGAGGAATGAAGGCAGACATTCTCTACAATCGTGTTTTTGAAATGACATTTTTCAATTGCAAGTCTCTTCCTTTTCTCTCCTCCCTTTCCCTGTTCAGTTTCTGGTCACCACTTCCTGTGTTCTATTGTCTTCTTTATGAAGGTTCCTCAAAGTTTTGTCCTTGATGTCCATGTCTTTCTCTCTCCTCAACCCATCCTCACTCTGAAGAACAAATCATGGGTAAAGGAGAGAGGTGGCAATGCTAAGCATGGGAAACCGTATGGATTCAGAGTGTTTTAAGGAACGAACCTGATGGGTTCAAACAGATTTTTACAGTGGGAATAGGAGGAGATCTGAGGAAATCAAGGCAGAATTGTAGGTGTTGGCTCAAGCTGTGGTTGTGGCTTCATTTATTGAGATGAAAAGGGTATGGATTTCATGACTGGGACAGAAATCAGGGAGATGGAAGTGATTCATTAAGTTTGACATGTCTGCAAGAGGACCACATGGAAGTCTAGAGAAAGATATCTGGGAGATGTCAGCATATAGAGCTAAGGGAGCAGGTGAAAATGAATAGGAGAGCAAGTTGAGCAAGGAGGGGGACCATGAAACTTCCTGGGACATCCATGTGTGGAAGAGAAAGAGTCAGCAGAGAAACCTCGAGGAATGATAAGAGACTAGCAGGAAGTGCTGGAGACAGTGTGACCACCAGTCCAGCACAGCACAGGCCTAGGGGTGGCAGACCATCCCAAAGATGACCCCTGCCCTCCCCTGCCCTGCTTAGTGCCATAATGTACACTTGGAACATTGTACTCCTAAGACCACTCCTGAGACAACCCCTGACACTCAGAGACCCCAGGAGCCATTAAGAGGAGCAAGTAAGTGGTGGAGAAACAGGATGTGGGCACAGTGAAGAACTGGAGTCTCAAGGGTAATAGGGAACAGCCTGGTGTGAGTAGCTAGTGATGCCACCTGGGACCATGGTGGGGCCATAGCCTATATTGCCACCAGGGGCCACGTCTGGCCCTGTGGCCCTGCAACAGCAGGGGTCTGTTATCACCAAAAGCCAGACAGATGTTTCTGGTCTGGGCTGCAACCCAGGGGCATGTTGATGTCTGAGGGCTGTGCAGAACTGATCCCATCCCTCACATGGTCATCCTGGGAGAGGTGCCCTAGGGGCATTAGAGCAGGAGAACTGGCCCTGCTGCAGCACCTGGGAGAGCAGGCCCTGGGAAGCACAGAAGAGCTGACCCTAATGGCTGGAGAGAGCCAGCCCTGTAACTTGCCTGCCATGTGTCAGAGTGGGTAAGAGAGAGATGCCTTCTCCACCCTTGCCTCTTGCCATCTACGGCAGACAAGAGAGCTGGCCCTGAAATCATGAGGGCAGGAGAGTTGGCCATGTCCCTCACTGGCTGTAACACCCGGAAGAGCAGGCCCTGCCCCTTGCCTGGGCAGCAGGGTAGAGCTGGTCCTGGTTGCGGGTGTTGCAGGTGAGCCAGCCCTGAGGGTGTGAGAGCAGGAGAGCTGGCAGGCTGACCAGCTCAGAAACCTCTCAGGCCCAGATCCAGGGCTTTGAACTGGCCATCCCAACATCTACTCCATCAGTGAACTGCTGGAGTGCATGAAGGGGCCAGTCCTACAGTTCCAAATCTACAAGATCTCCATGACACAGGGCAACAACAGGATATCTGAGAGGAGTCCCAGTGAGGTTCCAGTATTACAGAGTAGCAGAAACCAGAGGCCTTGTACCAGATCAACAAGTCATTACAATGAACATTTGCATGCAGAAAAATATAGAGAAAAGTGTATACTGTGGGACACGGTGACACACTGCAGCTCCATAATGAGATTTTTTTTTTCTGTTGGGATGGAGGTTGCAAGGGTGGAGGGTCAGTATGAGGGAAGGGGAAGAGAAGTGGGATTGGGGCACATAATATCAAATTCATAAAGAACCAACACACAAACACACACACATGGGGGGAGGTGCTGGTGATAGCTCAGAGATTAAGAGCACTTATTGCTCTTGCAGAGGGCCCATGTTTAGTTCCCAGAACCTCCACTGGGAAACTCACAACTTCCTGGAACTTCAGCTCCAGAAAGGAAGCCCACATGCAAGTCTCGTGGGAAGGAGTGAGCTGCTATGCTTGCCTAGATTCTCAAGAGGCTGTACAATGAGATAAAGATCGACAGAATTTGGTCAGGTAGAGATTTTGGTGACCCTTCTAGTGGTGGCTCTGGAAAGGTTAGTAAGAAGAGGATCATGGGAGAAAGTACTGACAAAAGGGAAGATGAATAGCATAGTTGCAGGCATGCTGAGACATTGGGTGAGCATCTGTGGGGATGCTGTAAAAGAGAGGGTAGGTGGCAACAGAGACGAAGAGGAGGAAACTTGCAAGGAGGTTTGACCTAGTGCACATGTGGAGAGATACCACATGGACCTTTTTAACTAAAGAGAAAGAAAACAATATCAGGCGCATTTGGTAACTGAAGGCTGAGGATGCATTCTGATTGGTTCTGTTCTCTCCGGGCATCGTGAGGAGAGGTTGACAGCTGAGCTTAAGGCTGGAGATTTGAGCAAGGACAAATGGTGAAAACAACATAGCAGGTTGCCAAGGCAACCTCATCCTTGATTATGCTAGTGTGTCCAGATAATTTGTTCTCTTCTTTTGAAATCTCAGGGCCAGGTCCAGGGGAAATGGCTCAGTGGCTAAGAGAATGGCGTTCTGAGTTCAGTTCCCCAACAACCACTTAAAAAGCCATGTGTGGCTGTGTGCACCAATAACTCCATTTTTGGGGTATAAACAGGATTGCTGGGATTTTCTACTGGGGATATCTAGAGGCAATAAAGCAACCAGTAACTGTGGAGTATATCCATTGTCCCCTCCGGCCTCCATGCATACATGGTCATGAACACTCATCTAAGTCTACACCATCCACACATACCCTGTATCCCGTTGCAGCCCTCTCTAGATACCCTAGGACATAGCACCATTCACTAGGCATTCTCAGCAACCAGGCTCACTGGCCCTTCCCCTCCATCATTTCTCTGGGGCAGGCTATCTGCTCCTTTTAGCCTGTTTGTTCTGGGACTTCTTTTCTGCTCCCGACCTGTGGTAGATGGGAAAGGATGAGGAAAACCATCCTCAGTGAATGCAAGAAGTGAATGAAGGGAGGGGCTGAGGCCAGGAGGACTTGGCTGCTGGTGGGGACAATGGAAGGGACTAAGAGAAGGGGAAGGAAGAGGAGTTCACATCAAGTTAGATGTATGGAACCTTCTGGAAAAGTCTAATGTTGAGGAATGACAAGGAGATTAGACTAAGGATGCAAATGCGGCTGCCCACTCCCAAAGCCATCTCACTTTGACCCTTCACTCCTTTGTCTCCATTCCCTGGCTTGCTCAGGTCTCTTCAGTGACCCACATATCAAATGCCATTCTCCATGTCTTTGTTGTCCCCACTGTACTCTACAGCAGGAGCTTGCCCACACTCACAGTGATGTGTCTTCCACACTGCAGTTAGAATCACTGTAATCACATTTGGGTTCTGCTCTTACATCAACTCCATAGGCACACTATTATCTCTCCATCATCTATAGGATAAAGTGCACAGTCTTGCAAACGGATCTTCATGGTAGCTCCTGCTCAACACACACTCAGGTCTCATTGTAGCCTGCTCTCCAGGTATCCTGGTTTGCCCTCCATTGCTGTGATAAAGCACTACAACCAAAGGTACCTTGGAGAGCAATAGGTTTATTTCATTTTACACTTCTAGGTCATAGCCCATCATTGAGGGAAGTCGGGGCAGGAACGGAAGTGGGGATCATGGAGGAACGTTGCTTACTGACTTGCTCTCTATGGCTTGCTCGATTTTCTTTCTTCTACCACCTACGACTACCTGCCCAGAAGTGGCATCACCTACATTTGACTAGGCCATCCCACATCAATGATTAGTCAAGAAAAATGCCCCACAGACATTTCTACAGGCCAATCTGTTGAATACGTTTTTTCCCCAATTGAGGTTCCTTCTTCGCAGATGGCTGTAGCTTGCGTCAAGTTGAAAAAAGACAAACCAGCACACCAAGCTATTCCTCCTGCCATGCAGCCCTCTTTCCCCTTCCTGCCCAATGCTTCAGCCTTGAGCGTGTGCTCGCCACTCACCATCTTTGTTCTGAGTAGACAAATAAATATTATGCTAGATGTTGGTAAGCACCACGGAGAAGGCATAGGCAGGAAGGGCTGCAGATGCTGAGGGATGACGTTGTGATTTAAGTTGTGGGGGTCATGAGGAGGATCAGTGAATGGCCAGCTAAATAGGAGGTGGGAGGGGACAGAAAGATTCCTGAAGCCATCTAAGACCTGGGTCCAGACAGAAGAGGATGTGAGGCTGAGTAAGGGGGTCCACAAGAAAGAAGAGTGGAAGTGGTGAGGTCTGAGGAGAGAAGCCCACTAGACCTCATGGGCTGGCCCATGAGTGGAGGAGAAGCCATGGTAGGAAGGCTCAGACTGAACACTCATTCCTCAGTAGAGTCCTGGGTAGAGTCACCCCACTATCTAATCACCTAGCTACAGACTCCAGTGTTTGAGAAAACAAACTTGAAACATGGTTGAATGGATCCTTTCTCTTTTTAGCATCTGTCCAGGAGGGAATCACTTAGTCTGTGTTTAGTGTCTGGTTCCCTCGGGCAAATGTTTATGTTAAGTAAGGGCTTGAGCACACATACAGATGTAGGCTTACACTTCCACTCATGTGTGATAGCTCAGGAGGGACCTGTTTTAGAGAGATGATCTCTCACGACCTGTCCAATCGCCTTGGCTCTCAATGTGCTCACCTGTGGACCAGCGTGAGAGCATATGCAGGCAAAGGCTGTGTCATTGTGTCTGATGCGAGGAGGCACTCTGAGCTTACGTATCAACTTTTCCTCTCTGTCCTCTACTGACCCTCTTGCAATTTAAATGACCACTCACGCCTGTGCACCCTGTCCATGGCTTCGTACTTTTAGACCACACGCCAATGAATACATTACGTCTGGATGACTCCAATTGACCTAACTTTAATATCATTTTGACCGCTAAAGGACTATATTAATGTGCATACGTCTGTTCTCTTCCCCATTTAAGTAGAGGTGAAAGAATTTTATAGACTGCACCAAAAAGAAAATCATCCACCCAAACAATAAAACCAAATGAAATCACTGTATACAACTATTCCTTTCCTACTAATTATATGCATACATATGATTTGCTATGCATGCATGTATGTATGTATGCATGTATGTATATATTGATAAATGTACATGCATTTACAATATACTCTAATACACTGTATGTGTATCTCTATCAGATGACAAATCTGATAGCCTGATCTCTAGCAGGATAAAACAGCCTAACCTGAAAGAGGCATTAGTGATACTTTGCAGAGATGCTCTGAGCTTTAGAAAATGTTAAGGGCACAGAACTCACATGTAAATACAAGCTACTAAGAGCAGTAGCAATTAAATGCAATGTCAACAGAGGCACATTATCTAATGAGCTGTTTTCAGAAGTTAATAATGTGATTAATCACTGATTGATACAAACCGTGGAAAGAGAAATTCTTCTATACTAATAGGATTCGGAACCCTTAGGGCAGCCAGATAACAGGCAGAACTTGGCTAACAAGGGACCAGCTGAAGTCTAGGTGGTTGAAGTCAGAAAAGGGCCAGGTAGCTTCTCAGACAAATCATCCCCCTGTGGTGCATAACAGCAGGGCTTCTGTACTGCAGGGTCTAAGCCCTCAGCTTTGAGGGCCAAGCAGCTCCTAGAGTTTAGCAGTTAGAAAGACTCATGCTTACCAAACATACAAGAGACCAAAATATAAAGCAGATTGTAAGTAAATTAATTTAAAACATGGAGTAGAGTAATTATGGAGATGAGGTTTTTCCCTTCTAGCTTGGTCTCATTGCAACAGGTGTGATAGCAGTTTACATTCTTAAGCCTTGAGCTTCTGGTTAAGCATTCATTACAGGCAAGGCCCTGTCACAGGTCCTGAGGATGCCCCACTGACCAACACACACACACACACACTTATAGTGGTGACAGAAGATGAGCAAATGCCTTGCTGCTGTGACCAGGGTCATTGTACAGAGACATCACCTAGGAGCTAGTAGGATAGGCCGACCCCTGGGAGAGTCTGGCAATGGAAGCAGGACTCATGTGCAGGATAAGCAGAGAAGAGCCAGCACTAGCTAGTGAGCTGATGGTGGCCTGAGGAGCTGCGGAGAGGAGTGGGAATGAAAATGTCTTAGGAAGAGCAGATCAGGGAGGGAGAGAATAGAGAGCTGTGTTCTGGGGAACACTGAGATGAGGTGGTGGGTAACGGGCCTTGCTACCAAGCCTGATGATCTGAATTTGAGTCCCAGGATCCACCTAGTGGAAAGAGAGAACCAACTATTAGACATTGTCCCCTGTCCCCCGGCCTTAATGACAGTGTCACCAAGCTGGAGCAGCTAGCTGAAGCCCAACAGCCTGCCACCCAGCCCCAACACCTGCATTCAGGGCAGGTTTCCTGCCATGGGCAAGTCCCTCTTGACCTTTGGCTGCTTTCTAGATCACTGCAGCCTTCACCTCCTTCCTGTGAGTCTTCCTGCAGGCATTTTTTTTTCTGGACTCCTGTTTCCTTATTCCACTTCTGAAATTATACTTTTGATTAGGCTGAAGTATCTCCTAAAACTCTCTGTGGGGTCCTGGGAGAGGCTCGTTCACTCCACATCCTTTACCCCACAGTTTCCTAGCATAGCTTAACCAAACATTGAAATATTTATGCAGTAAATGCCCATGTGCTCACCCTTCTAGAACCCACAGTTAGCACTTTACGGTTGCTTTTTACCCTGTACTGGTTTATCTACCTCCCCTCCATCCCCTGACGCATGTATTTCAAAGTGAGGCACAAACTCAATCCTAAATCCACTAAATCCATGTGGCAGGCACATCACTGACCAGCACTTACTATCTGCTTGTGACACTGCAGTAAAATATATACACAGTGGGGATGTACAAATCCTAAATGTGTCATCTGATGAGTTTGGACAAATGCATACAGTTGTATGAACTAAATTATCAAGGTAGAGAGTGTGACCAGCTCCCTGTCATCCCTTCGGGGTTATATTCCTGCCCTACCCCCGAACACACCTGTCGTTCTCATTGATTAGCTCCCGACTTGCTTCTTCGTTACTCTGGTTTTGAGAACAGCCTGATCCTTGTGATTAGTTTGAGGCCTTTCTAAGCTTCCCAGACACCATTCCTAGGGCGAGCCATCTGCTCATGTTACATTGGGTCCACTGCTCACTCACACGGGTTGATATTACTACTGTAGTTTGAGTAATCCCTTGGTGGTTCTTGCCTCCTGACTCCAAGATACGTGTCTCGTGGTGTGTGTGTGTGTGTGTGTGTGTGTGTGTGTGTGTGTGTGTGTGTGTGTGTGACTGAAAACTTGCCATGTCAGCTAGTATGGCTAGCCAATGAGCTCTTGTGATTTTCTTGTTTATGACGCCCCTCTGCTCAGTACAGGCAAACACAGCCATGCCTAGATTTCTGCAGGAGTGCTAGAAACTTGAATCAAGGTCTTCACGCTTGTAAGAAAAAGCTCTTACCCACTGAGCCCTCTCTCCAGCTACTCCAACATCCATTTCTAATATTCACATTTTTTTCCTCTTTTGATGATCACCAATAATAAACACACTAATTGGTCTTCCTCTTTCTGCTCTTGGTAACAGTAGAGGCTTGTGTCAACTGAGCCTCTGCTGGGAGCCACACTATAGCTCCACAAACTGGTACTCCATTTTACAGACAAGGAAACTGAGTCGGGGGAGCTCGAGCAACTTGCCCAAGGTCACACAGCTGCCGGGGCAGAGGCTTTTGAGGTCTACCTCTTCTGCCTCGGGATTGGGAGTCCTGTCTGGGTGGCTTTCACCTACCTGGGGCTCTTTGTCATGTGCTTCTCACCGGCTCTTTCCCACAGCCGTGGTAAAGAATCCACCCAACAACCTGTGGATCATCGCTGCGGTGCTGGCTCCCATCGCCGTGGTCACCGTCATCATCATCATCATCACGGCTGTGCTCTGTAGGAAGAACAAGAACGACTTCAAGCCGGACACCATGATAAACCTGCCTCAGAGAGCAAAGGTGCATACGGGCATGGCGAGGGCCAGGGGGTCTTCCCAGAGGCTCTACCTGAATTTCTCCCAGGGTTCAAAGGTTATCACACGTCCTCGTTTTGAAAGAGACCCTTTTTGTCATAATCAGTACATAACACATGCTTCTCTATTGCCAACTCTCGCCCACAAACACTTTCAAGTGGTTGATACACAGGTCATTTCTAGCCATCACCATAGCCTCTCAACCATTGTTTTACAGATAGGGAAACCGAGGCACAGACAACAGGCAGCGAGAAAAATATGAAAAGACCTTAGGTATCATTTAATAATTGGACCCACCTCCTTGTACTAGTGAAAAGAAACTCCTTCAACCCCTCCTGGTTGCATGGTTAGCTGGCAGCAGGACTGACGGTAAGACTAAGCCTGTAACTGTCTGAGCCTCCTAGCCTCAGATGTGAAGGTGTTATAAGTTTGTTTGGGGGAGATAACTGGGACACAAAGGTGGCTCCCAGGAATGAGATTAGCAAGCCCTGGGGAGACCTCTAGCCTCTTTCATCACATAGACACACAGGAAGTGAACATTCTCCAGCCCAGCAGTGAGCCCTGACCAAAGCCCAGATGTGCTGGCACCTCAGCCTTCCAGCATCCAGAAATATATCTGCCTTTTTAAGCCTCGTGATTAAAGGTATTTTGTTGTAGTTGCCCAGACCAACCAAGATAAGGTCTATTGGGTCCTGCACAAAACTTCTTTGGGAACACAGACTCCCAGAAGTTTCTTGTTTCACTAATGAAACAATTGCTTCAGCCATTGTGATGATGGACAAGCTATAGGTTAGGGTAGCAACCACCAAATATCAATTCTCGAAAAGAGCCTGGCTTAGAACCCTGTCCTTCCTCTGTCATCTACATGTCTCTTCCCCAAGTCCCTCTGGTAACAGGGGAGGGTGGACCGAAGACATTCAGAAGGCTAATTTCCCAATCATATAGCTGCCTTTGTAGTAGTCCCTGCGGGAAATGTCCAATCTGCAATACCCGGGGTTTAAATAACGCCTTACAATCTGCTGGCTCTTCTAGGTCTGTCACCTCATTTGTTCATCACAGCTGCCCTGGGAGGCAGGTCACAGTCAGGGCAGGCTTCATTATTCTCACTTAACTGCCAAAAAATCTGAGGGAGAGAGACATTGGACTTGTCCAGGCATACCACAAACAATGGAGGGTGACTAAAGCCTGCATATCCCTCTCTCTCTCTCCCTCTCCCTCTCCCTCT